ACCCATATGAACATTGGCTTTTTCTTCTTGAGTTTCTGAAGTATTTCACGCTGCTTTAGACCTCATATTTTGTTATATTTTTGGTTGATAATCTGTTGAGAAATAGCTTATTAGACAATTTCACCATCATTACTTGTGTTTAAGGAGTATCACTAACCCATTGTGGAAAAATTATGGTTACCTATAAAATAATAACTCTTAAGAAGGAATTTGACTTAGATTGGGGGATATCAGGAGCAATTCAATTTTGATTAACAGCTTCCAGGGAATTGTCTCTTGTGAGGATGAAATTTTCCCATGAAGTGTCACTGGATTCTTTTATCTTCTCTCAATGGCGTCTGTCTGTTCACTGGCTTTACCTCCCACATCTGTCTCTCCTGGAGAGACAGTTTGGTAAACATTCCTTCTCAGCTGCTGGACTTGTCTCTGAAGGCAGAAATACTTTGGAAACTTCACTGCTTTTTTTTTTTTTGTAAGGATGATCAGTCCTAAGCTACCATCTGTTGCCAATCCTCCTCTTTTTTTTGCCTAGGAAGACTGGCCCTGGGCTAACGTTCGTGCTCATCTTCCTCTGCTTTATAAAGGACGGTGCCACAGCATGGCTTGACAAGCGGTGCGTTGGTGCGCGCCTGGGATCTGAACCTGAGAACCCCTGGCTGCCGAAGTGGAACATGCGCCCCGAACCACTAGGCCACTGGGCCGGCCCCAGAACTTCATTACTTTCTAAAGGAGAGTCTTTGGGAATCATTCCTTGGGTAACTTCATCCTCACTGACCTCATTCTTTGATGCTGTGACTTTCATTTTTGTTTGCTGAGATATATTGTCGTTGTTAATCTTAGTCTGGAGTTATCTCCTGTGAAAACTTTTGAAAAGATTATTTTTGAAGCACTAAAGGTAAGCAAATTAAACTTTAAGTGGTGAAAATCTTCATGCCTTTATGGCTGGAGTGGGTCATGAAATACTGAAGGAAGACCTCCTTCTAAAGCTTTAGCCTGGGTGACACAGATGACAGAGCTCCCACGACACAAGGACATGGGTGGGAATACTTGCTTGGGCTTACTTGACCTTGGTTATCTGTTTTTCCTGGAAAGAGATTAATTGAGATCATGGAATTTCCCTCAGGAGAGGTAATTTCTGCCAGAGAGACGCGCAGAGCACTTCTTCTGACGGGCTGCAGGCACATGGCCTTGTGAGCTCAGTGGTGGCCCAGCCTCGCTCCAGATTACTCTGATTCCTGATCCCATTTCTCTTGCCTCTCTTTCTCTAAAGCTTGTCTTCCTTGGGGTAGTGTTTGCCAGGAACTTCACTGGTTTGGATCCTCTCCGTAGATTTTCTGACAGCATTTGCTGGGGAGAATTGCCCTGGTTCAACCTATTCAGCATGTGTTCCTCTCCTCTAGAATTGCTTGGAAGATTTTTTATCCTGACTAATCTTATACTTGAATCTTTTTATCTCTAGATGGCAACATTTGACTGGATGTATATACTATTATTTGTGGTGATGTTTGTTGAGAAATTTGTTCTTTAGTTAGGGTTCTGTATTTAGTAGCTTTACCCATGACAATGATAATTCTTTTAATATTTTGTTTTGAAGGGATCTGGATCTGGATACGACTGTGCCTGAAGGCACATTCTCAGGATTATTACCTTGCAGAATCTCTTTGGTAAACCTGGCTACTCCTGAAGAGTAGTCCTAAGAAACTCTGCCCTGGGGCTTGCCCTTATATATTGATTTAATTCCTCCTGATTTCAAGATTTGCTTAGTTTTATCATTTCTCATTGAGTCAACAGACGTCCTTCAGAGTCTGCCTCTTCTGAGGTTTTGTTCTGAACATCTTGATCTTTGGGCATCATTTTTCTATATGAATTTTCTGGCCATCTTCTGTTCTGGCCAATCCTATTGGTAGAAGCTTCTCTTTCTAAGGCCATTTTTTTCTGGTCATTATGTTCTAAATGTAGTACTGGAAAGGCTTCCTTCCAGACCAGAATTTTGGGGGAATTTCTCTCTGGATTTCTCTGTCAATTTGACCCAAATGCTCCTGAATAGACTTGTGAGGAATCGTCTCTCGGTCAAAGTCTTTTTGACATGGTACCCCAATGGAGGAGCCACCTGGGGAATTGGGTCCCAGTCACATTTGTCCATTGATGAGATATCCATTGATGTCACTCGAGAAAATGTGCCCCAATCATCTTTTTTTTTTTAAATAAGTTATACATATATTTTTAAGCATTGCTTTTTGAAGAGCCTTGTCTTGAATATCTTTATTTTATTTTATTTTTTTGTGAGGAGATCAGCTCTGTGCTAACATCTGCCAATCCTCCCCTTTTTTTCCTGAGGAAGACTGGCCCTGGGCTAACATCCATGCCCATCTTCCTCCACTTTATATGGGACGCCGCCACAGCATGGCTTGCCAAGCAGTGTGTCGGTGTGCACCCAGGATCCAAACCAGCGAACCCCGGGCCGCCGCAGCAGAGCGCGTGAAATTAACCGTTTGCGCCACCGGGCCGGCCCCTTGAATATCTTTATCCAAGGATCTCTGTCCTCCAAGGGACCCTCCTGGGCTAGTTATTTTGTGGCTAATTTTATTCCTGGAATCTCTTTTTTCAGCAACTGATTTTTGAGGAGTCTCATAAACACTGATCTTATGCATTGATTGTGATAGTGATGAATATTGAGGAATTTTTCCCTGGCTAACTTTTCTCATAAAATTACTTTCTATTGGCCATTATTCATGAGAGTTTTGCCTTGGCCTGGCTCATCTGTAGGATCCATCTCCCCTGGTGATAATTCTTGCAAAGTCTCTCCTCAGCTAGTTGCATCTGTATAGTTTCTTCAGACAAATGATCTGGAGGTTTTTCATTCTGGCCCATGGTGGTCTTGGACTATGTCCTCAATGGTGACTCTGTGTGTGTGTGTGTGTGTGTGTGTGTGTGTGTGTGTGTGTAGAGGGGTTAATTGCAGTCTGGCTGAAAATAGCCATGGGTTTCATCATTAGGGGTGTGGGGGAAGAGGGAGAATGCCCCTCTGCCCTTTCCCTTAAGGTTCTTATGGCTGGCCAAATAATTAACAAGATAGGTTAGCAGGAGAAAATAATACCAAGTTTAATAACATGTATACATGGGAGAAACCAGGGACACTGCATTTCTCAACACAATAGTAGAAATTCTCGTCTTAAATACCATCTTCATCTAAAGACAAAGGAAGATGTTGGGGGTGGGGGGAGTCAGTTACAGGAGATTACCACCAAAGCACAGTAAACAAGAGTAAAGTTATTATGCAGATTTAAGGCCTCACTTTCCACATTGATAAGTTTCTAGAAATGAGGTCATCCCCCCTCTTCCCAATACAGAGAGGGAGATACCTCTACAAATGGAGATTTCCTTTACAAATGTAAATGTTTGTCTGGCAACTCCTCGCAGGGCCATCCAGAGAATGAGGCCAGAGACAGAATTTCCTATAAGATGGGCTTGTTGGTGCCTTTCCTACTGTAACATCTATTTTACATTATATTACAGCCATCAGACAGAAAATCTGTTCCAGGAAGGAGTTACTACATCAAATTCTTTAGGCAGTTAGTGGGGGAGGTCAAATGTCCGTCAGAGAAAACAATGAAGGTAAAGAGATATATTTCAGGGTGACCAAATCTTGATCTCCCACAGGGCAATGATTCTTCATCATTTTCTCCCTTCTTAGGATTATATGTGGGGTTTTTCTTTTCTGGTGCCTCTTGTGGAGCAAGTTTTGCACCAACAACCCCTATCTGTGAACTGTATTTCTCCTAATATTTTTGATTATTTCATTTCACTTTGGCTAAATTTATCTGCAAGTGTGATATTTTCAGACAATGATATCTTTGGATCCTGTCATTTTATTCCTGAATGTCATCCTTTTTGACAATGGCAACTGAAGAATTTTTTCTTTTCTAATAATTTCTTTGGACTAGGTATCTTTTGATCATGACTTTAGAGGATGGGAGATACAAGAAATCTAATCTAGTGCCAGCATGACTTCTGACTACAGCTTCCAAAGGGCTGCTTTCTGGGAGCACTTCCTAGGACTCTTCTATCTGTGACATTTGGACTTGCCTTTTGTTGAATTAAGTTTCTTACTTTTTGTTTTGTACATTCCTTCTTGATAGATAGAACTTGAACATGAAAGCAGAAAGATTCAGAGAACCTTCCTTCACTAACATGAGACGTGCAATGTGACTCAGCTGTGAGCCGTCTTTGAGGAACTCAAGCATTGAGCTGTCTTCATACAAATCATAAATTTTAATCCTATCAGGAAAGTTGCTCACCAGTTTTTCTTTGCTGATGAGCATCTTCTTACGGCCACATTTTTAGTTGATTTAAGCCATTTCATTCTCATATCTGAAAATACCTGGTTGTGACATCATAGTTTTGTATTTGTTCCCTTTCTAAAGATAGAAAAGGGGGATTTATTTCCCCAGAGGATATACTTCAACCTTTTGAAAAATATTTACAATCTACCTAAAAATATAAGAATGATATCACTCAGTACTAATTATTTATTTATTTATTTTTTTTAAAGATTTTATTTATTTTATTTTTTCCCCCCAAAGCCCCAGTGGATAGTTGTATGTCGTAGCTGCACATCCTTCTAGTTGCTGTATGCGGGACTCGGCCTCAGGTAGCTGCACATCCTTCTAGTTGCTGTATACGGGACTCGGCCTCAGGATGAACGGAGAAGTGGTGCCTCGATGCGCACCCGGGATCCGAACCCGGGCCACCAGCATCGCAGCACGCGCACTTAACCACCAAGCCACAGGGCCAGCCCTAGTACTAATTATTTAAAAGGATGTTTTCCCTAGACTATTACTCTGTCGCTGGGAAGAACTTTAATTTATGGACCTTATCACTTATATGGTTATAACAGTGTCTCTAAAGGATCTAACATGAATTTTTGAAGTATCCTGTTTGGGATTGTAAATGCGTAGAGCATTGGTTAGTTTTGGCTGACAATCAAGACAATAAAATATGCACGAGTGAGCTTAAATGCTTGTGGATAACAATGATCATTTGAAAGCTCTTTGAAGATTTAATTTCATCTAAGAGGTAAGAAAAAGACTGTAATTAACTTGGAGCAAAATGTCCATGGACAGAGGAATTAGATCTCCTTTATTAGAAAGCCTGAGGCTGCACAGCCTGGCAGTCAAATGTATGGACTCCTGAGGGACAGACCCGGGTGCCACCTCCTGACTGTCTGACCTTGGGCTGGCCTTTAACCTCTGACCTTTGGTTGTTTCCTCATCCGTAACATGGGGATTGTTAAAGTGTCCACTCATGGAGTGTTGTGAGAATTAAATGAGATACTGTAATTAAGCACTTAGCACGGTGCCTGATGTGTGTTAAACATCCAACAAAAGTCAGATATTACTATTGAAAACTAAGATAATGCTTTTTAACTATGTCAGTTTCTTTCCTTAAACGTGTGTGATGGAATGAACTTGAGGGTAATAGAAGAGTGTAGAAAGTCTGATGAGCACATACCTTGTGGAGGAAGATGTGCTCCATCCTAAAGTCTAGCTCTTTCAGAATGGTCCTGATGTTAGAGTCTCTTCAAAAGCAGGCATTATTTTGGGGTAAATTTACTTGTCCCCTTAATTTTCCCCTAAACAAATAAAAGCAGGGAGGCAGTCCAGACTTCTCCCTCCCACTCCCTGTGGATTCCTGCTCCCCAGCCTCTCTCAGATCCAGCCCTCCCCTCCACCCGAGCCTCTCCGGCAGTTCCTCCACACACAGCCTGCTTACGCCCTAGTGAGGACTCGCTCCTGCTTCCGTGCCTTTGCGTGTGCCCTTCTCCTGGTCTGAAATCGCTTTGTGGTGTCTCTCAGCTGCTGTCGTTTATGCCGTCATCTCTCCCTGCACGGGACTCTGGCCGTGGTCCTTGAACATCTCCCGTGTGCTCAGTACTGAATCCCTTACTGCTCCTGCCAGTCACAGTGCCTTTGACAGGTAGACAGGACAGGTGAGGAGAGCTGCCAGCCACAAGTAGGAGGTGAGGGAAATAAGATAGCCTTTCTTCAGTTGCTCAGCAAGAGCAAAGCAAGGTCGTAGGTGAGATACATAATGTCACCTGAGAGAGAGAGAGACAAGAAAGACTATATCCTGAGTGAAGGCAGTCGGCTGCCTTTAGAAAGAAGTGTCCATCTGAATGGGGCAGCACCAGCATTGGCAGTGACCTCCAAGCATTGCCCTGGGGAGGGAAGACGGACCTGGTCATTTTGCTTTGCCATTTTCAATCCCTGGGCAAGGCTAGCCCTCGGTAAAGCCTGTGAGAGTCTGGTAACCAGTCAGGACCTGGTTGTCCTGCGCAGCAGGGTAGGACCGTCTTGGCTGGGAGAAGGCTGAGTCACGCTGCCTGAGCCTGGTGTCCTCAGCCACTGATTCCTGAGGCTGCTCTTCTGAGGGCAGCACTGGTAAGTCAGTTCGAGCCCTTACTTTGGAACCAAACTGTTAGGATCTGAGCACCGGCTCCCCCCTTTCTAGCTACTGGGCTCAGGCAGGCTATCCACTGTCTTTGTGCCTCAGTTTCTTCATTGGTAAAATGGGGATAACAACAGTATGCATTTGCAAAACGTTTATCTGATAAGGGTTCAGTATCCGGAATATATATAAAGAACTCTAGTATTTTTCATATATTATTAGATTGGCAGAAAAAAAAGTAAAACCACTAGCTCAGTGTGTCAAGAGTCTAAAGAAATGACCATTTTCATGTGAAGGTGTAAATCAGTCTAGCCTTTACAGATGACATTTTGGCAAAATTGATGGCAATTAAAAATAAAATTTTCTTTTTAAAATAAATAATAATAAATAAAAACTAAAATGCATTATTGGGATAATTGAAGATGTTTGAAAATGGACTCTACATAAATATGGTAAGAATTTTTTCAACTTTTTAAAACTTAAACTTTTTGAGATAATTGTAGATTTACATGCAGTTGTATGAAATAATATAGACAGATCCCACATACCCTTTACCTAGTTTACCCAAATGGTAACATCTGGCAAAACTATACAACAACTATGATATTGACATTGATACAATCCACCAGTTGGATTCAGATTCTCCAGTTCACTTGTACTTATTTGTGTATGTGTGTGTATATTTACTCTAACAATTTTTTTTCAGATGTGTAGGTTTCTGTATCCACCACCACAATCAAAATATGAAACAGTTCCATCATCACAAGAATCCCTCTTGTTGCCCACTTATAACTGTCCATCTCCCTCCTTCCCCAGCCCCTGTCCCTAAGCCTTGGGAATCATAATCTAGTCTCTATCTCTGTAATTTTGTCATTTCAAGAATCTATAGAAATGGAATCATGTAGTATGTAACCTTTTAGGATTAGCTTTTTCCACTCAGCATTTCCTTCAGATTCATCCAAGTTGTTCCTGTATCAATAGTTCATTCTTTTTTATTACTAGGTAGCATTCCATGATATGGTTGTACCACAGTTTGACTATTCACCCATTGAAGAACATCTGGGTTATTTCCAGTTTTGCCTATTATGAGTAAAACTTTTGTAGACATTCTCATACAGGTTTATGTGTAAACATAAGTTTTAATTCCTCTGGGATAAGTGGCCCAGAGTATAATTGAGTTTTGTGGCAGTTGCATGTTTAGTTTTATAAGAAATGGCCAAACTATTTTCCAGAGTGACTGTACCATTTTACATCCCTACCAGCAAAGTATGAGTGATCCAGTCTCTCCATCCTTGCCAGTATTTGGTGTTATTATTTGTTTAACTTTAGTCATTCTGACAGGTATGTAGTGATGTATCATTGTGATTTTAATTTGGGTTTCCCTAATGGCTAATGATGTTGAGTATATTTTCATGTGCTTATTTGTCATCTGTATAGTCTTTGGGTAAATATCTGTTCACATCTTTTGCCCCCAAAATGCAAATATCTTTTGACTAGTCAGTCCATAGATATATCAGCAGAGATTTGCTAAGATACAGGTACAAGAAAGTTCACTGTAACAATTTTTTAGTCATAAAACAACGACAACAAAAAAGCCAACCCCGGAAGCAGTGTAAAGAACACTAGTAGGGATTGACTAAATTATCACTGCTCAGTGTTGAGATTGAACTGTGGGGCCAAATAACAGGACAAATGCAAAAGTGTGGAATCCTTTAAAATAGCAAAGGTTACAACTCATCTGACACGGACTGTGATGTCTGAGAGACAACAGCTTCCATGCAGAGGACAAGCTTCCTGAACTTCACCTTCTCACTGGGGTGCTGCAGACACCACCTCATCCACCCAGGATTCCACTGGGTCCTCTACAAAGCTCCCTTTGCTTCTGTGTGTGGGATGTTGGATCCCTTGGCCTGTACCAGCTTCTCTGGAAAGTCTGGTGGCACGCCTTCCTGCCAAGAGCAAATTTGAAGTGGAGACCTTAGCACATGCCTCGAGTGACTAACTGAAAGATTGAGTAGGTCAAGGCCACTCAAAGTTTCCCAGGTTTACCCTCTGTAATGGAATCTGACTCCATTTTTTTTTTTTTTTTTTTAAAGATTTTATTTATTTATTTTTTCCCCCCAAAGCCCAGTAGATAGTTGTGTGTCACAGCTGCACATCCTTCTAGTTGCTGTGTGTGGGACGCGGCCTCAGCATGGCCGGAGAAGCAGCGCGTCGGTGGGAGCCCGGGATCCGAACCCGGGCCGCCAGCAGTGGAGCGCGCTCACTTAACCACCAAGCCACGGGGCCGACCCTGACTCCATTTTTTGATGTTTGACTGCTGACAGCTTTGAGGCTTCTCCTCTCCTTCTTCCCCTTGTGCCCACATCTGGGCGAGCTGATAAGCTCAGGAGATCCCACCTGGGCACAGCAGCAGTTTCAAACCATGCAAGCCCCTTCCCATGTACAGTGACTCTACCTGGGCCCACCCCCTAACCACAGTACAAACCCCAAGCAGTCTGCTTTCCTTGCTCTCTCAAGCCATTTTCAAACTAGCTTGGGAAACCTGTCCTGTTCCTCACTGAAAGCCTCATTATGTAAGTAATAAACTTTTTCGTACCCTCTTGGTGTGTGCACAACACTCTCCCTAATAAGTCCATGCCTGAGGCCCTATTCCTATAATCCATAGCTGAGATCTGTTCCTATAACCCATCCCTGACCTAAGATTTAATACTTTTTCACTGGTAATCCAGTAGGCCTACTCTTTTTTTTTTTTTTTTTTGCTGAGGAAGACTGGCGCTGGGCTAACATCCGTGCCCATCTTCCTCCACTTTATGTGGGACGCTGCCACAGCATGGCTTGTCAAGCGGTGTGTCGGTGTGCGCCCGGGATCCAAACGGGCAAAACTTCGGGCCACCAAAGCGGAACGTGCGCACTTAACCACTTGCGCCACCGGGCCGGCCCCAGGCCTACTCTTTTTTTAATTTATTTTTTTAAATAAAATGTTTTTACATCTCAGACAGAAAAAAACAAATTGCCTTTCCATTACCACAGTAACTATCTGAAGTAAATGAGGAATCAATTATACAAATCACAGTATTTCACATTTCTTTGCCAACAAATAGTTTGTTCCTCCCCGCCACCCCCCACCATGTTTTAATAAAAGAACATGGTTACTAAGTAACCCATGGTAAAAGATTTGACTTTTCTCTAGCAGAGTGATTCTCAAATGGAAGCTATTTTGTCCCTCAGGTAGGGTGACCAGTGGTCCCAGTTTGCCTAGGACTTTACTTATTTTAGCACTGAAAGTCTGTATCCTGGAAAACTCTCCAGTCCCAGGGAAATTGGGACAGTTGGTCACCCTACCCTCAAGGGATATGGGTAATGTCTGGAGATATTTTTGGTTGTTACAACTGGGGTGTGGGGGGTGTGTGTATGTACTACTGTATCTAGAGAGTAGAGGCCATGAATGCTACTAATCATCTTACAACCTACAGACAGTTCACCACAACAAAGAAGTGAGTGCCAGTCCCACAGGGAGTCTGCTGTCTCATGGCAGGCAGAGCTTGAAAATCATTTTAAGGTATGTTTGTAATGGCATTCTAACCCCAAGGTGGCCTTGTCCTATGACCAGGCAGTGTATATCCATTTTAATATTGGCTTTAAAACATAGCTAAGAAGCTAAATTTGCTTCTGGAAGAGAAATGAATTGATGCTTTTACAAGCTAAGCATTATTATCTTCTAATGTCCAAGAGTACCTCCCACAGGATGTCAAATATTTAAAATAGTTAAACTTGGAAATGAACACTGTTTGCCATTTTCAGAGTTGAAATTCAGACCTTCTGAAGCCCCTTCAGATGATGTACAGCAAATCTCATCCCCTTCTCTGCCATCTTGCAGAAAATCCAGGGCTGGGCTGGGGTCTTTGGACTTTCTTAGGGCTCAGAGGAAGGGGCAGTGGCTCTGGGCTACCCTCCCTTGTGACATCACCCTGTCAGTCCCTCTAACAGGCATTATATACTTAGTATGCCCACACGTGTTCTTCCTCCTGTGTCTTTATTGCAGGAAAAGCCACCGCCATCTACCCATGTGACCGACTCAAAAAAGAAATCTGGTGGCCATCTTGGATTTCCTCCACCTCCACCCTCTTCATCCTGTTTAGTGAACAAATTCTCTTGACTTTACTTTTAAATTATTTCTTACATTATGTGAGGGCAGTACAGTGTATTGGGTAAATGAATAGCATTCTAGACAGGCAATCCCCAACATTAAAATGAATTATTGTCTATAACATGCTTTACCTCTCTTGTCCTGGAACAAGAAAGCATTTTCCATAGAAACACCATTCTAAATGGTATTAGGTTACTAGGCTAGCCTACAGCAGCCTGTTCAGATCATAATGTCCATGAATGGTGTTTGGGACTTCTTTCACTCTCCGGGGCTCTGAGGAGAGCCCATTCCCATCTCTGACCTGGGTTAGCCAACCACACCCATGAGACAAAGAGGGGACACTGTGGGAGCAGTGGGTTGGTTCCAAAGCTCTGAGCATTTTCCTTATGCTTTGCATGTGTGGGACTGCCTGCGCTGCCTTGGATTGATGTGTGTGTGTGCCCTGGAAGGCCAGGGGAGATCTCGCCCACCCTTGAGTGTATAGTGGTGTGACCTAAGAGCTGCCCATCCTAAGTCCTGACCTCATGGTTGGGGAAGACAAGGCCCCATCATAGCTATTCCACATGGGCAGCAGCTCCGGCAGGAGCAGGGATGGCCTCATGAGTGTAGGACCTGTGCAGCTGCACAGGGCCTGCATTTGGAAGGGCAGCACACCTTGTTTAATGCTCTGCTGTCATCATAATGAAATACATAATAATTTTCGAACAAGGAAGCCTGCACTTGCATTTTGTCCTGGGCCCTGCATATCATGTAGCCAGTCCTGGACTGGAGGAAGGGGTCAGGCTGTGGAATTGCAAACTAATCCTTGTGCCAATCAAAAGTGGCTAGCTTGCCATTTTCACGTCTGCTATGAATTTCCAGCCCTTGTTCAACTCCTTCATTCACTTATTTAGCAAATATTTATTGGGTGCCTCTTGAGTGCCAGGCACTGTTTTAGGTGATGGGGATACCAAAGTAAACATAAAATTCCTGCCTTCATGGAAGGGAAGAAAGTATGAAATGTGGGTGGCAGTATACATAGGATGTGTATATATATATATATATAGGAAGTGTAGATAGGATGGCCAGAAAAGGCCTCACTGAAAAGGTGATTCTTGAATAAAGACCTGAAGGAAGAGAGAATCTGCAGAAATGGAGGGCTGTTGGGGGATGGGAGAATTCCAAGCAGAGAGAAGAGAAAGCAAAAGGTGTGAGGTGGGACCATGCTTGGTGTGTTTGAACAACAAGGGGTCAGTGCGGCTAGAGTGGAGAGGACAAGATGGAGAGTAAAAACGTGATGGGAATCAGATCTTATAGAGTCTGGGAGGTCATTCAAGGGCCTTGAATATTTCTGTGACTGAGACAGGAAGCCGCTCATTAGACGTGATCTGACTTATGTTTTACCAAGATCATCCTGGCTTTAGTGTTGAGACTGAATAAGGTCAAGGGCAGAAGAAGGGAGACCAGTTAACAGGCTAGTGTAATAATCTAGGCAAAAGATGACTGTGGCTTGGGCATTCAAGTGGTTGAATTCTGGCTTTATTTTAAATAGAAAGCCAACAGACCAGATGTAGGGTGACCAAAAGGAGAGTGGAGTTGAGGATGACACTAAGAGTTTTGACCTGAGCACACAGAATAATGGAGGGAAACTTGTTCAGAGAGGACATCCGGGATTCTATTTAGATCAGGTACGTTTGCGATGTCCACTGGTCATCCAACTAGAGACGTCAAGCAGGTAGGCAAGTTCAAGGAAATCTTTTTTTTAATTGAGGTATAATTGACATACATCATATTAGTTTCAGGTGTACAACATAATGCTTTGATATTTATATTTACTGCAAAATGATGACCACAATAAGTCTAGTTAACATCTGTCACCGTAGTTACAGAATGTTTTCTTCTTATGATGACAACTTTTAAGATTTACTCTAAGCAACTTTCAAATATGCAACACAGTACCATTAACTATAGTGATTTATTTATTTTATAACTGGAAGTTTGTACCTTTTGACCCCCTTCACCCATTTTGCCACTCTCCCACTCAAAGGAATCTTGATTATCAAGATATAAATCTGAAGCCATCAGCATACAGATGATATTTGAATGAATACAGATAGGAAATAATAGAAAAAATTTTTTTTCATACTTTTGAGTTTTACTGTCACTGGAGCTGTTTCAAAATAGATGTTTTCAGTGACACAGGTACACTCCAGAACATGTGTGAACACTCTGAGAGGTCTGACTGCAAAGTGCAGCTGAAGTTAAGACATGAACACGTGAGATGGATATATTTTCACGGTCTGGGTCTGGTCTCCAAAAAAATGATAAAACGAGGAAAAAGTCTCATCCATTTGGTTACTTATTTTAAATCCTTATTATTAGTTTATCTTATCCTATAACTAGTTCAAATCTTCACATGATTCAGGGTTTTCAAGCCTATCAGCACAGAACTTGGGCTGGAGAGTCACTGCAGACACCTCCTTCCATAGCCACTCAAACCTAGGTTTAATCTGCATAGTTATCATCTTCACGTAGGAACTCTTCTAGCTGGCCATTTCTTAGTTTGCAGCTTTGACAGAAGCATCAGTAAAATCATCCATATATATATTTTTTTTTTGTGAGGAAGATTAGCCCTGAGCTAACATCTGTTGCCAATGCTTCTCTTTTTGCTGAGGAAGATTGGCCCTGGGCTAACATCCATGCCCATCTTCCTCTACTTTATATGGGACACCGCTATATCACGGCTTGACAAGTGGTGCGTCAGTTCATGCCCGGAATCCAAACCTGCGAACCCCTGGCAGCCAGAAGTAAAGCGCGTGCACTTAACCGCTATGCCACCGGGCCGACCCCAGAATCATCCATCTTTTGATAACCTAAGAAGGAGACTTGGAGCCAGAATGCATTTGGGAGCAATTTCATCCTGAAAAGCCTAGTAATTTATTTCCTGTGGAGTTGTGACGTTCCAGTCAGTCTAGCCAAGATGGCTCTGAAGAAATCTGTTGATGCATTCCTGGAATCATATTGGAAGTACCTGGCAGGGATTCCTGCTTCAAGGCCTCCTTCTCAAGGGGTTTTGCATTCTCCTGCATGACTATGGTCTTCTCTGTGGAACTAGCTACAGAAATCAGTGACTAAACAGAAAACAAAAAAGCAAAAGAGCCATTAGCAGAGACTAAAACACACTCGATAAGGACACAATATTGACATTTTCATGCCCAAGACTAAGAACAAAACTGAAATATATCTGCTCTAGGAAAGCATAAAACAAAAAGCTGATAGGATCAGGATGAGTCACCAATAATGTCACTGTCTGCCAGAACAAAACTCAATGCCTTTTACAGGAAAACAGCAGCATCTAGACTCTTACAAAGTATCATCCACAATGTTCAGCATACAAATAATAATTACTAGACATTGACGAAGTAGGAAAATGTAAACCATAATCTAGAGAAAAAGTATTTAATAACTAGACACCCCAAAATGACAAAGATGATGAAATTGGCAGATAAGGACTCAAAATAGCTATTATAAATATTTTGAACAATTTAAACAAGAAAAATAGACATAATGAGTGAAAAGATAGGGCACATCAGCAAAGAAAATGGAAATTATAGAAAGGAACCAGGTAGAAACTCTAGAATTGAAAAGTATAACATCTGAAATGAAAAAATTCACTGAATCTCTAACTAGGATAGTGGGCACTGCAGGACAAAGGGTCAGTAAACTTGATGACAGAGCAATAGAAATTACCCAGACTGAAGCACAGAGGAAAAAAGATTGAAAAAATGAACCCAGCTTCAGTGACCTATGAGACACTGTCAAGCAGTCTAGCATCCATATAATGGCAGGCCCTGGTGGAGGTGGGATCCTTGCAGCTTAAGCTCTACTGGTCGCCTCTACTGCCATCTTTGCCCTGAAGTCCCAGAAGTCCATTCTACAGTGGACCCTGTGGGGCAGTGCAGACAGGTCTGTGAAGTACTTGTCCACGTGATCTCTAAGACCCTTCTAACTTCGAAGTGTTATGAGTCTATGCAGCAAATATATGTATTGATTCTATAAAAATATATTTCTATATGGCTCAGATCTTTATAAACAAAGAGATTGCTTTCACACTTAGAAACTGAATTATGGTTTACTTATTCAAAGCTGCCTCTGCTTAATGAAGAGAAAACAATACAAGCGCAACTTTTGTTAGCTTTCTTCCAGGTCTGACTCAAATGCCACCTCCTCTGTGAATCTCTTCTTGATTCCTGTAATTGGATATGCTCTCCGCCACACACAGTGCTCTGTTTCTAATCCTCTTTTGACACATCCACTGGACCAGTAGTATTCAATCTGGGTGCATTCAAAGACTTTCTTCAGGTATATGCAAGCAATGATGGCTTTAAGATATTAAGGAAAATCATGCAAAGCTCTGAGTATGTGCATATAAGCCCATCAGCTCAATCAGCAGGCCTGGGGAAATCTTATGCAACCCATCCTGGGCCTATTTGACACCAGGTTTTACAGCACTAGTGACACAAAATCTGGTGGTGACCAATAGCAAGGAGTAGTTTGCAATTCACCTTTAGCCAACAAGAAACCAGAATGCAGAATTGCATCTTATTTGACGTACCTCCACCTTTTTGCACTTACCTAGCTCTTTCAACTTGTACTAGGAGAGTAACTTGCACCTGAATGACATGGCTCTCCCTTGCCAGGTAAGCCATCAATTCAGCTTTGTTTTAGATCACTCTTGGGTTCTCTTTATTTCCTTCTAACAAAGGGAATCAATTTCCATCACCACAATGCACTTGTGAACTCTTTCCTAAAACTGAGAACTTGCACATAGCCCAGGTATCATGCTGGCTCTCGTTTCCCATCTTCCCTTACAATTACCTTTGTCTTACACTTGGCAAAAGAATAGCATACATTCTACTCATCTAGATCCTGCTAAGGAATATTGCTACAGGGTGTAAAACCTGAGTACAGCACAAAGCGACAATTCAAAATACTGATGCAAGCAAAGCTTTCTCTAATAAAGGTACCATAAACCAGGGTGGAGTTTTGGGAGTCTTTCCCTGCCTTACGCATTTCTATTTCTATTAACAGTGAAGCAGATGTTAGAAAAGGATTAGAGGGCAGCAAGGTGATGACAACTTTTGCTTAATGATCTTGCCTCTACCATCTCCAACTGTTCAAAGAAGGAATTATTCCTGAGCGAGAGTTCCTTTAGACTACTGTCGAACAGTGGTATGAAATGACCTTTCTTTAGATTTAATTTACTTATAAAACATACAGACTTAAAAAATAAATCTATTAATTATGAAGGAAGCTGAGCATTAGTATAGATGTACATAAGCTTAATATTTTCATGTCTTAACCAAAGCTGGCTTTGGAGACTAGCAAAAGCTGGTGAATTGTACAAGACTGCATTAAAGATTTTAATGCACAGGATATAGTGATAATTAAAAAGATGTCAGGTATCAAGCCCAGAAAGTCAATTCCCTATCCAGGTATCACATATTTTGTAGAAAGCACAAAATGACCTAAGACATTTTTCAGAAGATTGTAGCAAAAATTGTGGGAGATAAAAGATACGCTTGTCAAACTAATGAATACACAGTTGTTTCCAACTATCTCAAGTGAGTAATTCATGACCATATTACAACATCACACAGGAGGCCTCTGTGGCTTGATACATAAATAAATAGTATGTAATAAATAAAATAATATGCCTGAAGTACATACTGATAACCATATTTGGTTTCTGAAAAATATTGAATAATTTTTGAAAACAGCTCACAGGATCTTCTGTGAAAATATATTTGATCCAGGTGACAGATTTAAAAAAAAATCTGATTTTGTAAACCAGTAACATCTAAGGTATCTCCTAAAACCTAAAATGGAATTGCCTTTTTTTTTTTGTAAGGAAGATCAGCTCTGAGCTAACATCCATGCCAATCCACCTCTTTTTTGCTGAGGAAGATTGGCCCTGAGCTAACATCCGTGCCCATCTTCCTCCACTCTATGTGAGAGGCCATCGCAGCATGGCCTGACAAGCGGTGCATCAGTCCATGCCCAGGATTGGAACCCGGGCCACCAGCAGCAGAGTGCTCACACTTAACCGCTAGCCACAGGGCCGGCCACTGGAATTGCCTTTAAACATTTTCTTTTTTCATTGACAAGGACTGTCAATAGGATTGGTTTACATACAAACATATAACTACGAAGGGCAAAGGAGGCTCTGGGAGCTGCATGCGCTCTCCACCGCGGCCGGTGGGCCTGTGGATGTCCTGGTGTTCATCCTGGGATGCGTGTGCCCAGGGCTGAGCTCCTCCTTCCTACCTCGGGATACTTTTCACACCTCTGTGGAATCCAACACTCTTCTTGCTTTAGCATTTCTGTTACTTCTCTTTCTTTGGGGTGATTATCATCTTGTCCCTTCACCTGGATCTTCTCTTGCCTCTCCTGGGGTGATGCGACAGAGTCGCATCAGGTCAGCGGGAAGCATGACCTGATGACACGCTGGGAAGCATGTCCCTCACTGGGACAGACCTAGGCCCCAGGCCCTTCAGGCCTCCTGAGTTTGCTCCTGTAACCAGCTTTAGCCTGTTAGTAGCTCCAAACCCACCAACTCCACAAGTCCTCTGAGTTGGATTCCCTCTTCAGCCGCCAGACTCCCCACACCTCGGGGACATCTGGACCTGTGTAACGCTCGCAAGTTGAATAAAGCAAGAAACCCCACAGGCCAGCTCTGGAATCCTGCCTTGGATTTCAGATTACTCTGGGAAGGCAGGAAAGCCCTCCCCAAGCCGACCCAGTGCACACACACCTCTTCTTTTGCTTTAGCGGTTTTCCTGTAATGATAAAGCCAGTGAGCCAGGTACTCTATGGGGTCGCTGGGCCGAACTTTTGCCACCTCGGCGAGTGCCTGGGCCAGGCAGTTTCCAAAACACCTCTTCAGGTAATCAGTTTCCATCCTTGTAGGCCTGGGAAACGTCAAAACAGAGTCACACTATTTTAAAAATCTAGCTGATTTTAAAAAGACACATTCTAACCAATTCAGATTCATTTCAGGACACACATGAGATGCTTCTGGATCCCGTCCTTCCCAAAAGAACCAATAAATGCATACTTGCCAATAGCTCTTACATTTAAACAGACTGTTTTCTGAAGCTCTCCAGCTGTCCCAGCTGAGACCATAGATCCTAGGGGTTATCAGGCCTGAGAGCAGCTTGATATATTGGTGGTTAAGGGTGGCTGAGGCCTCCACTGACCCACACATTCCTACCCTTGAGTAAGGAGAAAACAGCAGCAAGCAGGAGGTCCAGCAAGCTGTACTATTGTGAGGGTGGAAGCTACAGTCATCTATGACACAGATAAGATCGGCTTATTTATTTCACAAGGCACTGCTGAGAGGCCCCAGGGAGGAGAGCGAGGGGAAATGGTGGCACTGCAGCTACTGCTGGTCAGGGGCTCTGCCAGCACTGAACACAACATTCTACCCTCTGTTGCTTAAGCAAGAAATTACTTTAGTTTGAGTTGATGAGTTGATGCCCTTGGATTTACTATTAATCAGATTTCAAGGGCTGGAGGCAATGCAGCCTGAGTCAGACCATAAGTCAGGAGTGCAGCGTGGTGCAGCAGTGTGGATGCAGACTCCAGGATCAGACAGACCAAGTTCCAGTGCTGGGGCTACCTTTATTAGCTGTGTGATCTTCAGCAAGTCACCCGGTCTCTCTGAGCCTCGGTTTTCTCACCTGTAGAACAGAACAACAAAAGTATGTACCTCATAATTGTGAAGATGAAAACAGATAATAAATACATGTAAAGCACTTAGCCTGGCACAGAGTAAGTGTCTAATAAACATTAGCTATCACAGTGGAAGACTGTGATGTGAAATGGCCTAGCACCGGGTCGTGCCTGACCAACTCCATATTCCTGAAGTTCATATATTTTAACCCCAAAAGAGCTAATAATAAAGTGAATAATAAAGGCTCAGATCCAGTCTTAACATTTTCTGGAGGCCTTTTTAAGTTTAAGGGAGGAAAGATAGATGGATAGATACGAATACAGAAAAAAATTTTCCTAGCTCAAAAAAGAAATTTCCTAGCTCTTTCCACTGCAAAGATCTAAGAGCAAAAACACCTGAGTAGCAACGAGCACCCTGCGTGCACAGAACTTGTTTTTAAGTAGCCTTCACTACTTAAGAGGACTCAAGGCTCCCTGGAGACAGGGGTAATTCCCAGGGTGGGGCAAGAAAAGTCCAATAAGCCTGGAACATTTTGTTGTCCCAGAAAGTATGACAATGCTGAAAAATAAAGTGGTGGGGGACACAGGAGACAGCTTGAAGGCGGCTGCTACCACCCAAGTCTGGGGCAATTTGACCATCAAAATAAATAATGCCTGTAATGGATAATAACTGATCGAATAAAATAAGAAACCAGGAGTCCATATAATAAATAAATGAATGGGAGAGAAGGAAAGTCCTTTCTTAAAGTAGACTGCCAAGTAATAGATGTGAGAAGAATAGTGGAGTTAAAAAAAAAAAATCACCATTTTGGGTACCAGCCCTGTGGCGTAATGGTTAAGTGCGCACGCTCCACTGCTGGTGGCCTGGGGTTCGGATCCCAGGCGTGCACCGATGCACCGCTTGTCAGGCCATGCTGTGGCGGCTTCCCATATAAAGTGGAGGAAGATGGGCACAGATGTTAGCCCAGGCCCAGTCTTCCTCAGCAAAAAGAGGAGGATTGGCATGGATGTTAGCTCAGGGCTGATCATCTTCACACACACACAAAAAAGCATCACAATTTTGTAACCATCATAGTATAACTGAACCAAGCCAGAGTCATCAATGAGTGCTAAAACTTGGAGAATATTTGACAAAGAGGATATTTATACAGTCTCAAAGTCTCTCCCCACAAATTATGTATTGCAGTAAGCCCCCCTTAACCACAGGTGATATGCTCCAAGACCCCAGTGGATGCCTGAAACCGAGGATAGTACCAACCCCCATATATACTATGTTTTTTCCTACGCATACATACCTATGATAAAGTTTAATTTATAAATTAGACACAGTAAGAGATTAACAACAATAACGAATAGTAAAATAGAACAATTATAATAATACTGTAATAAATGTTACCATAGATCTTAGTGTCCTCAGCATACGCTTTTTTTTTTCTTTCAAGTCAAGAACTTTCAACTTTTCACTTAAGGGAAGCACCTTATGGCTTCTCTTTGGCATATCTGAATTGCCAGCATCACTACTCTCGTGATTTGGGGCCATTGTTAAGTAAAATAAAAGTTACTTGAACACAAGCACTGCGATACCGAGGCAGTCAATCTGGTAACTGAGACGGATACTAAGTGACTGATGGGCAGGTCGCATACAGAGTGGATACACGGACAAAGTGATGATTCACGTCCCGGGCAGGACAGTGCGAGATGGCGGAAAATTTCATCACGCTACTCAGAACAAGCAGGCAATTTAAAACTTATTAATTATTTCTGGAATTTTCCATTTAATATTTTTGGACTGCGGTTGACTGTGAGCAACTGAAACCATGCAAAAGGAAACTGCAGATAAGGGGGGAACTGCTGCAATTTCAAAAGGAAATACAGAAACGTTACGGTGTTTTGTAAAACTTGGCCAACACAACCTTGACCAAGTGATCAGACTAAGCATCACTAGTAAAGGGACAAAGTGACATCACATGTCTCCTGATGGGAAGCACTTTTTAGTGGGACATGATACATTTCTGTGGATTCCCGCCCCAAATGCAAAACTTGAATCTAATTGAGGAAACATCAAATAAAGCCAAATTGAGAGACAGTCTGCAATTGGCCTGTGCTTTTAAAAATGTCAAGATCCTGAAAGACAAAAAGAGATGAGGAACCATTCCAGGTCCAAGGAGCCTAAACAGGCCTAACAACTACATGCAAAACCTCATCCTGGTTGGACCTGGACCAGAAAAAAAGAATTCTATAAAGGATGTTGCTGGGAAAACTGACTGTGAATTGTAGAGTACATAATAGAATTGCATCAAGGTTAAATTCCCTGGTTTTGGTAATTGAAATATGCCTAAGTGTGAATTTTTCCTAGGAAATACACAGTGTGGTAGGGCTGAATAAGGGCTCCCAAAGGTGTCTAAGTCCTAACACTTGGAACTCATGAAATATGTTAATTTATACGACACAACGGACTTTGCAGATGTGATTAAGGATTTTCATTTGAGGAGATTATACTGGACTATCCAGGTAGGAACAATGTAATCAATCACAAGGGTCTTTATAAGAGGGACACAGTAAAGTCAGACAGAGAAGAGGGAGATGTGATGACAGAAGAAGAGGGAGAAAAGGTGATGTGGTTCAGAGCCATGAGCCAAGGAGTGTGGTGGCCTCTAGAAGCTGGAAAAGGGAAGGAAATGGATTCTTCCCGAGAGCCTCCAGAAGGAACCAGCCCTGCTGACATTTTAGTTTTAGCCCTGTAAGACTCATTTTGGATTTCTGCCTTCAGAAATTGTAAGAGAATAAAAGTGTGTTTAAAGCCACTAAATTTGGGATAATGGTGGAGGATGGGGTTGGGGGTGCATGATGTCTCCTTCTGCCAATCTGTGGCCCAGCTGAACCAGTGTGCCCAGATAACCTTCTACACCCCTTTTACTTAAAGTGTGGTCCATGATCAGCAGCACCGCATCACCTAGGGGCTTGCTGAAACACAGATTCTCAGGTCCCACCACAGAGCTACAGATTCAGAGTCTGCATTTTAATAAAATCCACCCCCCGGGGGGGGGGGGATTCACAGTTACAGATTCACTTTGCCTCTGTCACTGTAGAACTGCCCTTCCCAGGGGGTGCAATCCCCAACTCTGCATTCCAAGGAAGCCTCTCCACTTCCCAGTCCTTGGGCAGCTGCCACACTGTGTAGGTGTCACAAACCCTTCCTGGAAAAAGCATCTGCTCTAAATTGCATATTTCCAACAATGGCCTCCATGAAATATGCTGACCTAACAATTACTTAGAGGATGCAAAGACAGTAGAGCCAGAATAACAGAGCCACAACCTGCAACCTGGAGAGGGAGGGGGCAAAGGGATGCCTTTTACAGCCGCTCCCCACAAACTCAGGGCACATTCACAAGGGGAAGGGGCTATTTTTTGGAGTTTCCCAGACCTCCTCTGAAGGTCTGCTTACACTGGCCCTCCTTGTTCACAGGCTCGCACTCAGTAAGTAGGGCAATAAGCACGGTGATTGTCTTTGTCCACACCATATTCCAAGTGCCAGGCAGACCTAGGTGATCCATAAATATTCCTGATGTAATCAGAGGAGACTCTGCCACTCGTGAGCAGAGGCAAGAGCTCCTGCTCCTTTCCGCCTGTCTGTGCCCACTCTGGCGCTCACCACCTCAACCAATGTCTAGCTAGGCTTCTCCTGCCCAGCAGTGCCCCGCACATAAATTAAAACAGAACATGGGAGAGGCCCCCCCCAGTGGCTTAGCGGTTAAGCACGCTAGCTCGGCTGCTGGCGGTCTGGGGTTCAGATCCCAGGTGTGCACCAACACACCACTTCTCTGGCCATGCTGAGGCCACATCCCACATACAGCAACTAGAAGGATGTGCAGCTATGACATACAACTATCTGGGGGGGGTGGGGGGGGCACCTGAGTTGGTTCTAAAAGGAACCAAGCAGAGGTCGCCAGCAAGTGCAAAGGTGCGGAGTGGTGAAAATACCGGGCCATCCGGCAATCGGGGCAGTCTCCTCCGCCCCTGGCTGTGAGGGTGTCCCGCCCTTCACCGACTGTAGCTCTTTGACGTTGCTCCCAAGAGCCAGCTGCCCCTTTATCCTTCCCAGTGCGCACTCGCCTAACCATCCCATCAATTCCTCTTTTCCGTTGCCCCCTCCTCACAGACTCTAGGCTGCATGTCTCTGCTCACCCACCCTCTTGCTCCCTCCTCTCTGTCGCGACCCCTCCTCGCTGAGGCGCGTTCTCCCCTCCGCCCCCTCCGCTCATCCACCCACGTGCCCCCTCCTCTCTGGGGGCACGTTCTCTCCTCGGCTCCCTCCTCGGCGCCCTCCGCTCACCCACACGCGCACCCGCTCCCCTCTGCGGCTCGTTCTCTCCTCGGCTCCCTCCTCGGCGCCCTCCGCTCACCCACACGCGCACCCGCTCCCCTCTGCGGCTCGTTCTCTCCTCGGCTCCCTCCACGCCGCCCTCCGCTCACCCGCCCGCGCGCCCTCTCCTCTCTGGGGGCATCTCTGGCACCCGAGGTGCGCGTGCTCGTTGCCTAGCGACGGGACGCGGCTCGCGGGAGGAGGGCGCGTGCGCGCGTCGGGCGTGGCCTCCTGAACGCAGGCGCGGTTTGGGAAGAAGGGTTCCTAGCGCTCGGCTGGGCTCCGGCGGCGCAGGCCGGTTTGGCCGTTGGACCTGGTGAGTGGTGTGGCGCTCGGGCGACGTTCCGGAGCCGGCCGCGGTCAGTTCAGCGCCGGAGGCTCCGCGGGCGCGTCCGCGGTTCCTCTTCCTCCTCCTCGGGGGCGAGCGGCGCAGCGCCTGCTGGAGGGCCGGACGTCCTTCCGCGGACCCGGGATGGGAAAAGGAACCTGAGCGTCCCGAATCGAGGGTTGCCGGATAAAATACGGGACGCCCAGTTAAATTTGAGTTTCAGATAAGTAAGGAATAACTTTGTAGTACAAGTATAGTATAATACAGATCATTCGTTATTTATCTGAAATTCAAGTTTAACTGGGCGTCGTGTATTTTTATTTGCTAAATCTGGCAACCCTACCCAGATCCTCTCCTTTCCCACTCGGCTGGCCAGCTTTCTCCCAAGAATGGGCCAGGGACGTCTCTTTCTTGTGACAGCTTCTCCAGGCTTGTTTCTGTGAGAAGAGGCTTACTGATGTTGAGCCAAGATGCCTGTTGGTGTGTATGACAGATAACATTCCTTACAACAATCTTGTGAGATGGGTATTATTATCATTTCATGGACAGGAAACATGCTAGGTGAGATAAGGAGCCTCCCCGGGATCCCGCTGATAATGGGATGCAGCGTCTGAGACGGACCCTGGATGGGGCCCTATTCCTGGGCCAGAGGTTCCCCTTTCCTCTGTATTATCCCCTTGCTATGTGTTATCTTTCTGGAGCAGCAGGAGGCTATTTATTTTTTACGTTACTCGGCTTCTAATGACACTGAGATGTCAGTGTAGTTATTTTTGTCTTTAGAGCATATCCCAGTGAAGAAGTACAGTGAAGATAACTGTGTTGCAAACTCAGTTGTAATAATTCTTTTCTCTATGTCATTGAGACACCAATGCTAGCTTGATAGGGAATTAGCTTCATTTGTGCCAGCGTTCAGCTTTGAGAGTTTTTATGACTACATTTATGTGTACACACGTAGACATTGCTTTCCCCGCTGCTGTTGCTACCACGGAAGATGGCATCCTATGTACAGTTTCTGCACCTTGCTTTTTCCACTTCACACTATATCCTAGAGATCACCCCCTGTGTTAGAGATTCTCCTCATTCTCATTATTATATATCCGTGCAATAATCCATTGTGTTGCTGTATTTCATCAGTCCCCTAATGATGAACATTTGGATGGGGTTCCATTTTAGTTTTTCTAAACAATGGTGCAAAATAACCATTTGCATATATCACTTCATATTTTTTCAAGTTAGGAGCCCAGAAATGAGATTGATGGGTCAAAGGGTAAATCATATGTAATTTTCTAGATATTGTCAAATTTCCCTCCAAAGGAGTTATGCCATGTTGTACTCTCACCACCATTGTATGAGAGAGAGCAGTATTGGGGTCTATGGATGAACCTCAGGAGGTCATTGTTTCTGAACTTTTATGCAGAATGTTAGGTGCATTTGTCCAGGGACAGGTCTGGACACACTGGCATTGTATCCCCAATAATTGCTCATGCCTGACATACAGTAGGTACTCATTATATATTTGTTAATGATTGTATTTCATCGGAGTCTGGATTCCATAAGGGTAATTTGAGGGTGATCAGTTTTTTAAATCTGAGATATAGTGGTTGCTACATTTCTTTTTAAAAAAAGTCTGGTCTAAGATTATTCTTGTCCATCTTCATAACTGAATAGACTGGGACATTACTGGGAGAGTGGAGGAACTCTCTCACTTGCCACCATAAAGAGCCAGCTGTGTCAGCCTTGTGATTAAAACCCTCCTTGAGGGGCTAGAGGAGCTTGTCTTCTAGTGGGAGGACAGACGTGCGTACAGATGGTGCTCAGGTAGTGTGACAAGGGCTGTGTGAGCTGCTTGGGGAAGGAGGAACTTTTTTATGTTGCCTGAGAAAGCTCAGGGAATGAGAGATGATCTACATCTTGCAGGTGAGGAGATATTTCCCAACTTGAGAGATTGTGAGGGATCATCATGTGCAAAAGTCGTGGAGATGCAAATGTGCGAGGTGTGGTCAGCAGAATGGCAGAATTTTCAGGATTTTCAGTGTAATTAGAGCCCAGGATATGCTGGGGGCAGAAGAGATGCCTGGAGCTGAGCCTGGAGAGAAAACTGGAGCCAGAGTGTGAGGGGCTTTAGGTGCTGTTCTTGGAAGGTTGAATTTTTTTTGTTCTTTGGCCTTGCAGATTCAAGGACTTTTTTTTTTTTTTTTTTTTGAGGTGGACTATTGTGACATTTTCTAAAAATGACTCTCCTGACTTGGGTGGAGCATCTTAGTACAGTCATTAAGGTCATGACTCTGGAATCAGGAGTTGCATGTGAATCCTACCTCCACCGTGTGCCACCTGTGTGATCGTGGACTGTTCACCCGTGCTCTTTGTGCTGGGCTTCCTCACCTGCACAGAGGGATGATGACACCCATATTTCAGGTGTGTTGTGAGGCATTGTTGAGACAGGCATTGCTTGGCATATGGTCATCTTGCAATCAATAATGACAGTATTCTTTTTTTGACTCCTGGACTTGAGGGCCCATCAGGATTTGGAAACTGTTTTAGTTGTAGTGACTTCTCTGGAGCCTTTTTGGAAACCGTTAGAAGTTTCCTGGGGCCGTCGTGCTTGTGCCATCCCTGATTGGAGGTGCCCCTGACTGGTGACAGGATGTAATGCTTTGTTGGCCTCACCGGACTCTACTTTTATTGTGCCTTAATTGAAAATGTTCTGCATTAATTCACAAACATTTATCTTTAAAAGTTAGGAGTTAGAAATGGAGTCGATATATCTTCAGAAGTACGTGGGGACGTGTCTAACTCAAGGTCTTGCAGAAGTGGCAAGAATTCGCCCTGTGGATCCAATAGAATATTTAGCATTGTGGATTTGCAAGTATAAGGAAAACGTGGCCATGGAGCAACTGGTAAGTATAGATCTTCTTTTAGAAAATTAGAAGAGTAAAATAATTGGTTCAGTTTGTCTGCTTTTTAAAAAAGGTCAATATTGTTATTTCTTTCTGTTATAAAAATACTATGTTTATTATACAAAAACTTGGACAAGATGAAAAAGTAGAAGAAGGAAACAATACCGAAAGAAGACCTCTATTTAGATTTTTAGGTATTTTCTTCTACTCTATTTTCTACACATCTGTCTATAGATATTTTTACATAGTTGTGATCATATTCAATGGATAATTTTAATTTTGTGCTCTTTATTTGAATAAAACATGCATTTCCCCAAATTATTATACAATTTCCAAATGGATAGACTATAATTTACTTATCCCTTTCCCTATTGTTGATAATTAAAATGCTTTCAAAATTATTTTGTCTCGAATTAGTCACGTGATATTGTTTCTAAACAATGCTAGAGACAAAAGGAAATGGCCAACTTGGAGCGTGAAAGAGAACTAGCTCTGAGGGAGCAGGAAATGATGGAGAGGCTCAGAGCAGAGGAGCTCATGTTTCAGCAGGTGAGACAAGTAACAGAGTTCAGAGGTGACTGGAATTAGCAGTGTCAACCTCTGTTTGGTGTAACCCAAGTGCTGAAAAACTCCCCATCTCTGGTTACTTAGTGTATGGCTTTCTTATATCTTCATCTCTATGTATGTCTTCTTTGCTGGAAAAGCAGCAGCAGTGAGGTAGGAGGAAACCAAGGAGTGTGCCCTCGTGGAAGCCAAGGGGAGAGAGCGTCTCAGTGAGACCTTGGTGGTGAACCATGTCTATTGCTGGTTGAGTGAGAGCAGGACTGCACAGTACCCATTCAAGGCCACTGGTGACCTTGGCCAGTGTGGGTGGGGGGCGTATAGCAGGGGAGATGGTGAGTATAGATAATGCTTTCAAGGAGATTTTTAGGGAAGAAGTTTTTTTTGTTTTTTGTTTTTAGGAACAGAGTGGAAGTGGAGGGGGAGTTGATGTTAAGAAATAGAGGGGATGATTTCTAGAGTCAGCTGTCCATGGAGACAAAGCTTAATTGAGTCTGGAACATAGGTTAGGCAGGTAGAAGGGAATTTCTTTGATTCAAGGAAAGAGGAGAGGATGGTGTAGGTACATGTGGGTTATAGGTTTTGTGGCACAAAGTTGAAAGCAGTTTTCTGTGTGACTGTTCTTTATGAAGTAGGGACCATGATCACCTTCCAAGAATGAGGTGGTAGTGTAGGATGTGTGGGGAGAGTGGTGAAGGTATGAAGTGGTAGCTTTGGAGCATGACAGAGAGAGTTGGCCAGGGAACCTTAGCATTACTTGGTAGCAATGAGTACCCTGATATGGTTGGAGACCAAGCATTTAAAATGTTGCCATTTGGTTTGGCTTTGTGATGATGTGATTTTTCTCCACTTAGGCCTAGATATCTGCGTGAAGATGTGGAAGAGGCAGACCCTTGACTGAAGTAGGTTTAGGGTAGCAGGACTGGGGAGCTGAATGTGTTGGTAAGAGTGGTTGAAGGGCTAGGTCATGGAGTATAAACTAGATAGAGGAAAGTTCCAGAGTGGCTTCTGCACTAATCTAATTTATGGAGAGCTTCTGAACTAAATATAAGTCACCCCTCTAGTTCTACCATGTACTTAACTCTAGAGTCTCGACTCGAGTCTACATAGTTAAAAAGGGAAAGAAGCCTATTAGGCACCTTAGGTGGATGTGGCTGTTGAAAACTTGACTGCTTCTGAGTCTTCATTGTTCAGTCATTTGGCTTCTTCTTGTGGGAAGTTGCAAAGTGTGGAGTTGGATGTCAGTCATCTAAGTGGGCAAGTGTCTGCTGCAGTGGTCCCAACTTTGAGTGAGGAGCTGCCCTTCCTCTTGCAGCTCCTGTAGTTGGTGTGTGTCCCCCGTCTATCAGTTCTCCTTCCCCAAGACAATTACATCACAAAGGTGGAGATACTTAACTTTCTTTCACCCTTCTACTTTAACTTACTTAGATAAAATTTGACAGTACTGGAAATCACACATTTCTCTAACTGTATCATGTTGACCATATGAAGCAATCCACTGTGCATCGAACCCTAAGCATTGTATTGGGAGTGGAAGATACAATAATATTCTGCAAAAGATTTGGCCAGTAAAGAAGTGGATTGGTGGGCAGAAATAGATGAGAGAAGGAGAAGGGACATGTGGAGAGATGGACCAAGAGAGAAGAGCTTAGGGGAGAGCAAGGCTGAGATGAAGAGGAGCAGAGAGGCCTCTCCACGCCCCTGGGGTCAAGTGGGCTGGAGGTTCAGGACTCTGGCCGCCTCCCTGTTGGTTGCAAGAGCAGGTGTCCTTGTAGTCAGTACTGCTGACTTGAAGTTCCTTGACATTTTAGGCACTCTTTAGCAAGCCCTGGTCTTTGTGAACAGGCAAGTATTTTTATTGCTGTTTTCTACTTAAGAGCTTATTTTTTTTTTTTTTGTGAGGAAGAGCGGCCCTGAGCTAACATCTGCCAATCCTCCTCTTTTTGCTGAGGAAGACCGGCTCTGGGCCAACATCCATGCCCATCCTCTTCCACTTTACATGGGACGCTGCCACAGCATGGCTTGACAAGCAGTGCGCCGGTGCGCGCCCGGGATCCGAACCAGCGACCCCTGGGCCGCCGAAGCGGAGTGCGCGCACCCAACCGCTTGCGCCACTGGGCCGGCCCCTGTGCTTATTTTTGAAGTAAAAGCTTTTTTGTTTTGTATTTGTTTGTGTACCTTTCAAATGGTTTTACTCATGTGTGAAGAAAGGAATTGGGTTTTGAAAATTTCCTGAAAATGTTAAGAAACTGATTATGTTGACCAATGTGGTTGATATTTAGCGACTGCACTTTGCATTATTGTTGAGATGTTAGAGTTATTTCACTTCCTCTACCAGTGTCTGAAAGGCGATTGAAGGATCTGTTCCCGCATTTCTGCTACCTACTCCATCGCTTTTATCTTAGTGGGGATAATACGAGAATACCAAGAAATCACCTTTAACAGCCCTTTGTGAACAAATATTAATTACTGTTTATTATCTCTTTGTTTGTAAAAATGTATTATTTTAAAAATGTAGTTTCAAGATGGTCTTAATGGGGTGACCTTATTAGCTTGTTTGTGGAATGGTGGTGGACTGATGGTGAGAAATTATTTTCTAGTTTGTGTTGGCAAACTCTGTAGAGGTAGATATTTTATGATTTGCAGGCCAAGAGGCAAAGTTGAGGATCTTATATAGATATTATGGTATATTATGTACATATAGCAAGAGAGAAAGAAAATTTCCACAAATATTTTATTGATAAAATAAAAAGAATATGTGAGTGATAATATGTGAGTACAATTTTTTTGTTTGTAATACAGGCTTATTACTGAGAAGAATTAAATTCTAGTTTTAAAGATAACATTTCACTTAGTTGGAGTTCAAAGTTACCATTCTTTGGGGCCGGCCCCGTGGCGTAGCAGTTAAGTGCGTGCGCTCTGCTGCTGGCGGCCAGGATTTGGATCCCTGGCGTGCACCGACGCACTGCTTGTCAGGCCATGCTGTGGCGGCATCCTGTATAAAGTGGAGGAAGATGGGCACAGATGTTAGCCCACGGCCAGTCTTCCTCAGCAAAAAAGAGGAGGATTGACATGGATGTTAGCTCAGGGCTGATCTTCCTCACAAAAAAAAGAAAACAAAGTTAATGTTCTTTATCATCAAAATTAATTGGTTTATTAATTTATCTGTTAATGCTGATCCATAATGAGATTTTATGTATTTCATCTTTGAAAATATCTTTTCACACAGATAGGTCCTGCCAAATACTGGTATCAGTCCATGTGCATATAGTTTTTTTTTTTTTTTTTTTTTAATTTTTTTATTTATTTTCCCCCAAAGCCCCAGCAGATAGTTGTATGTCGTAGTTGCACATCCTTCTAGTTGCTGTGTGTGGGACGCGACCTCAGCATGGCCGGAGAAGCGGTGCTTCGGTGCGCGCCCGGGATCCGAACCTGGGCCGCCAGCAGCGGAGCGCGCGCACTTAACCGCTAAGCCACCGTGCCGGCCCATGTGCATGTAGTTTTAATTGAGCATTTTCATCTTTTGGAAGGCATTTGTAGAATTCTATTAGATTTTTCTCTTGATATATGCCTTTTAGCATGTCATTGCCTTGTAGATAATCACTTCTAGTTGAGGGTTGGTGAAAGCTTCCAAATTACACAGTTAAATAGATTGTGAAATATGGAAATTTCCTTTGCTCTTACCTCGAGGCCTAAAAACACTTTGGAACTATAGTTTGGAGCTTGGGAAGAATATCCACTGCAAATTTGTGTAGGAATGGAAATCTAGTTTCTTGTTTTAGTTTTTGATCGCACTGGAAGTGTTTGAAGCAGCTTGACATTTTGATTCAAACATTAATTGTTGAAATGACTTTTCTTCAATGTAAGTTTTACATATAAGTGTTGTTTTGCCTTATAATTTTAGGTTGAATTGATTAAAAAGCATTATTAAGTCTGCAGCAACAGCTAATTTCCAAAGCCATTTATGTTTGATAAGTTTGATAATAGTGGTCGAGAATGGTTCTTCTCATTCAGAAAAATTTCAATCTTGGCCCTGAGCTCAAAAATTCACAATAAAACATTACCACTATTAAGCCATGGAACTGCTGTGTGGTAGGGCAAGTCAGGATATATATTCAGCTTCTGTTTCTGACAAAAATTCACAGAACTTATGGTCTTAAATTCATAAGAGTGAATGAAGGACACTGTTGACACTACTGGCTCAATAACATGTGATAGATTCAAATGTTTCCTGCAGAGTAGCTGCTATTGAATAATACAATGAATACTTACAGGCTTTAAACACTATATTTTCTCAAGCTTTGTAAATTTGTGCAACTAAGCCTTTTTCTGTTCCACACATATTTTTATCACCATTAGTTGTAACACATCTTAGCAGATTTCACTTCTGGTTGTACTGAATTAATGTTTCCCAGCTTCTTCGAAAATATTCCCTATAGTTGTCCCATGAAGACCATTCATAGAGGCTGATTTTTCAGTCACTTCCAACTCAGTATTGACTCCTTGAATAAACAACAACAACTGAGCAGTGTTGGGAACTTGGTCTACTTCTCAAGAGCCAAGGAAAACCACTCAAAATCATTTGCCTTTTTTTAAAAAAACTTTTTCAATTTCATTTATTTATTTTTTATTGAGATATAACTGACATAATGTTGTGTAAGTTTAAAGTAAATCATACAACTTGTTGATTTAATACATTTGTATATTGTGATATGATTACCACTGTACCATTAGCTACCACCTGTATCATGTCACATAATTATTTCTTTTTTGTGGTGAGAAGAATTAAGATCTAGTCTCTTGGTAACTTTGAAGTTTGTGATACAGTATTGTCGACTATAATCACTATGCTGTGTATTAGATTTCTAGAACTTATTTATCTACTGGTTGCAAATTTGTACCCTTTAACAACATCTCCCCAATTCCCCCACCCCAATATATTAACATAAATTCTTCTGCAAAGAAGAAATCAATATACATCTGGAATT